ATTTTTATGAGAAATACCCGTAAATAACGGATGATTACCGTTTTTCTGCCGGTCACCTGTTGCTGAATCGGCTCTTTTCGGTAAACAGCGGTTTGTTGTACATGTGCCGGGGAAAATCCACCTTAAGCAGACGTAAGTCCACCTTAAGCAGACGTAAATCCACCCAGCGTTAATTACAGGTGCTAAGCCGCTTAGCGCCATTCATTCAGCCGCGTTTGTCATTATTCTGCATCACTTTATTCACCGTTTTTCCATCTAATGTGCTAAAACCGTAGCATTACTCGCTTAATTCGGCTGATTTTGTCCCAAAAAAGCATATTTGGGGATACTTTTAGATGGAAAAGGGAAATAAATGGCCCTTTTTTATTAATGTGGAGCTCCATTTCTGGTCTTTTCTGGCTTTTTGTGGCAAAAAGTCACTCTGTGACAGCTCAATTTTTAAAGAATAGTCAAAAATAGGTGTGAAATTCACTATTCAGGGAGGAGATTATACAATAATAATAGTAATAGGGGCTGGGCCTTCTTGTTCTGGGACATTCACAGTCCAGTTTAGCCCAAAGGAACAGAAACAAAGGATTAGCCTCATAGTTTCTCATGAGAAGTAGGTTCACTTTCAGTTTTATTCAGAGTTGACACACTTTCTTTGTCTTTAATACAATAAAAAGAACAGGAAGAGCTCTTTATATAGAGCACTGTATACATATATTTACTTTTGGCAAAGCTTTTAAATCTAATAAAAGCTAATATATGTATATAATCATCTTTTTGGCCGTTCACATTTAGCCCAAAAGACACAGGACACTTCATAGTTTCTCATAAGAAGTAGGTATGCTTTCAGTTTTATTTAAAGTTGACACGCTTTCTTTGTTTTTAATTAAATAATCAGAGCAGGAAGAGCTCATTTTATAGAGCCAAATAATATATATAAATATATATATATATACAGCCATTCACAGTCCACTTTAGCCCAAAAGTCACAAAAACAAAGGAATAGAAGTAGATTTCCAGTTTTATTTAAAGTTGACATGCTAGCAGCCCTTTCTTTGTCTTTAATGTCTTTAATTCAATAATCAGTGCATATATATATATATATATATATATATACAGCCATTCACACTCCACTTTAGCCCAAAGGACATAGAAACAAACGATTAGAAGTATATTTCCAGTTTTATTTAAAGTTGACACACTTTCTTTGTCTTTAATGTCTTTAATTCAATAATCAGAGCAGAAAGAGCTCTTTATATAGAGACAAATATATATGTATACAGCTATTCACACTCCACTTTAGCCCAAAGGAACAGAAACAAAGGATTATTATAAGTATATTTCCAGTTTCATTCAAAGTTGACACACTTTCCTGTCTTTAATTCAATAATCAGAACAGGAAGAGCTCTTTATACATTGGGGACAGTCACTTTAGCCCAAAGGACATAGAAAAGGCCTCATAGTTTCTCATAAGAAGTCGTTTCCCCTCCAGTTTGATTGGTCTGTTTCTGAGCAGGTCTTAGAGCTCCATCAGATTAAGAGCTTTGCTGAATCAGAGTGAGTAACCGTGAGTAACCGTGAGTAACCGTGAGTAACCGTGAGTAACCGCGAGTAACCGTGAGTAACCGCGAGTAACCGTGAGTAACCGCGTTTCCTCTAAAGCCTCGTGGAGAACCCGTCCCTCCCAGTTCAGGGACAGAAGAACCCGTCCTTCCTCCTCTTCCTCCTCTCCCTCCTCTCCCTCCTCTTCCTCTTCTTCCTCTTCATCCTCCTCGCTCCACTCTAATCGTATCCAGGCTGTCTCAGAGCTGGACCCTTATCTGGATGCTGAATGAGTCAAAAATTATGTGTTTTTTTAGGTTATTAACTCATTGACTGCCAGAGTTTTTTGAGCATTTTGACTGATTTTTCTAGACCCACAGAATAGTTTGTGCTATGACTATGTAAACACCGAACACACCAAAAGAAAGAGTAGACTCTCTTCTTTCATCAGGAAAAAAAATGTGTTTCTACCTTATTCCGTTCTTCCTGGACTTGCGTCTC